TGTCCAAGCAGGATAGCTGCATTTCAGGAGGAAATTGTAAATTTGAGGAAGAGCTAAAATTCAATAAAATGAAGTAAAAACTATTAGGCAAGTCTCCTTGTATGTGAGGGATGAAAGTTGCAGGTTTAGGAGTGAAGATCACTATGGATAGACATTTAAACACTGAACAGCTATCTGGTGGTGTGAGCTTTTTGACCTTTCCATAAAGGCATAATAAAATCTAATCACTGGGAAGTGGAGTTTGAGAAATGGAACTTCAGAATAAGATGTAATTAAGATGATTAACTTCTGGTTTCATCTTTCTACTGGATGATCCATTCTGCCATCATGGTTTTGTGCCTCAAGAAATTATGAGAAATTTATGTCCAGACACAATTTCAAATTTGACTTTAATTTATGGAAGAAAGTCTGCATGTTCTGATTAAATAAAGACAAAGAAGCCAACAAAACTAGATAAGAACTACCTCTGTGTTAATTAAACAGCATTGGTCCTTATCTACTTGTTGATTTTATGTTAATGATCACGCCAAGCAGTTAATGCAAAGGATCACACAATTGCAAGAATCAAAGCATTACTCGTTAAATAATAAAAACCCCTAAAAGTAAACATAAAGCCTACAATAATATTCTATTACATAACTGTTACTGGTCCAAACTGAAATGCTCATTTAATGAACAGAAATGTCTAACCATATTACCTGTTTGGGTGTATTTTGGCTCTCTGTGTTAGGGCACGTTTCACGCCTCAAATGGATCCATCAACTGTTTACTTCAGAATACCAGGCTTAAGTCCAAGTTTTTTTTTTTTTACCAGCCTATAAAATCTGTTTGTCTTTTACATTTTAAGGAAATAGAGAATGTTTCATAAACACCGTAGGCACTACTGAAGACAAAACTTTCCACATTGTTAAGAGCCTTTGTTTCTTGCTGTTGAAATAGATCTTGGGTCAAAATTCCTAAAAAAACCTCTCCCTAGAAATGCATTAAGGATGGATTAACCTTTGCAGATAACTTTTGTGGAGGTGCGTGTGAATTTCTTTGTAAGGTATGACCCAGCTTGTAGGTCATACCTTTTATGGTCAACTTTTCGCAGAGCAACCATCACAGAAAATGTTGTGCCGATATTGTAGATACTAGTTAATATGTTGTTAACATGTATGTCACGGTATTCAACTTATTCTTTAGCATTTGCATTCATCTAAATAAAAGGTATGAAGCCAGTGTGATATTTCATTCACTGCTGGCAGCCAGCTTGCCGAAGGATGTAGCTTTAGTAATAATAACATAGAGAATAGGCTGTACTGGTGATGCAGGCAGGTAGGTTACCTCCCCCCTCGTCACCCAGCTCACCTGTGTCCCTACTGTATCTGCTCCTGATGGGAGATATAAGATCCACATAGACCTAAAATTCCTGGGTTTGAAATTAACAACTCCACTGAGCACCTTCAGTGAGAGTTGGACAAGTTGTTTGACTCCTCTAGTCAAATGCTAATTTCAATTCTTTGGATATTAACCTGACTTATAAAATGAAAATCACTTTAGTCAGCACCATGACATCTGCTCTATAATTGTCCACAGGGACAAAAAGGATAAAAGATAGTTTTTCAAATAAAAGTACTCCTGTGTGATTGCTGTGTGTGTTGTTATTGTGGTTTGAAGTTTGTATTTTTGTGAATGATAAAATATGAAATTTGACATAGTAAAATACATAAAAATCTGTCCTTGAACATTATAAATTGTTAAATTAATTTAGCTTGGTAAGGAGGGTTAAAGAGAACCCAAATACCTCTGTGTGTGTGAGTGTATGTATGTGCGTGTGTGTGTGATTATAGGGGACTTGTGTGTTAACATTTCTGATAGAGGGGTATTTATCTAACAAACCACAATCAGAGAAATCTCTGCTTTAAATAGGACTGTGACCATAAGATAAGGCACGTAAAAAGCTATCTTGCTATCTGGTACTATCAGAGCAGAAACACGAAATTTTTACGGTGAACTGCTCCAGCAAACACATTATTAACAAAATGCAGTGCTGGAGAGCTAGAGCCAGAAGAATTTAGAATAAAAATAAGAGGCACAGTTTGTGTAGTGAGATTAATTAACCACTGAAAATACTTAATAAAGTGTAGTTGTGTCTTCAGAACTTGAAATTTCTAATCATACAATTTGGATGTACAGTTTTCTTTACAATATATCCTAGCTTAGCTAATGATTATGAGCCTATGGTAAGAATCTATGGGGAGAGTGATCTTTCTATGGGATGATCTTTTGGCCTTAAAAATGTCCAAAATAATTCTTTGCGATAATACTGACAAATGTATGGACTGTGGCCAGTGTCTGAGCACTGCAGTCAGTGTATTCCCCTAGTCTAGCATGGTGGAACTACATCTCATGTCCTGGCTTGCGATGCCTTGCTGAACTCACACAAAGGGGCTGATCTCATACCATGATGTGGAGAAGCTACCCGACCAAAACTTCAGGTGTTCCACTTTACATCTTTTTTGAGAGGAAGTACTATATTATCTTTATCAGACATAGGCATCCCAAAGGAAGCAACTTGTTAGACTACGTGACATTCCCAAGTAAGAGAATTCAGACTTTGGTGACAAAAGGTTGGCAGTTTCCTCCACACTTACGTGGAGCTTCCTCACACAGTCTTGAAAAATTTCAGACATAGCTGAAATGAATGGTGGATACAGATTTTTATAAACGCTGGAAATGGAAAATTAAAAAAAAATATTGATCTGTCTAATTCTGGACATTAAAATTATAAAAAAGTTTACTTTGAAGTGCCATACTTGACATTGGTTTTAGGTTTTTTCTTATTAAAGTTATTTTAAATTTTTTGTTGAAAACAAGAACTTCTCATGCCTATAAATAGTTATGAAAATATTTAAAATCAAATTTTACAGTCCAAATAGCTGCCACAGCAGAGTACTTTCACCATTTGTATTTCCATTTTGCCTTCTGTACCTTATACTCACAGAGTAGAACAACAGCACAATGTGGTCATTCTTTGATGGGCAAATCTTCCAAGAAGCACAAACAAATTGATGTTTTTTGCATCATCTTTGTTTAAAAACCCACTAGTTTTAGCATGGATTAAGTAGGAAATCAAAGACAAAACAGGATACATTCTTGCACAAAGAAACACACAGGATATTAGGTTAACTCCATACTAAAATAAAGATGGTGGATATTAAGTTAACTCCATACTAAAATAAAGATGGTAAGAAAGAAATACAAATAGTAGGACCTTTCTGTAATTGCAAAAAAATATTTTCTTTTTTATATATGTGTATATTTAAAACTCTTGCTCTTTTAATATCCATGAGAGAACTAAAGGTGCCTGGGAAAATAAATCATTTGAGAATTTCTGTACTGGCTGCTGCAGAGCCCAGAGGAGGTTTGGACAATGCTTTGGAAAAGTGAAGTGTTGTGGAAAATATTACAGTGTTGTGGAAGAAGTAATAGTTTATTAAATATAAGGGCTGCAAAAATGAAATGATGTGTGGTCTGGCAAATGTTTTCTTTTTAAAGTTATGCATCCTGCTCATCCAAAAATATGCTAGAAGAACCCAGAGCCAGTTGAGGACCAGCAGCTGTACATGCCTGCTGAGCACAACAGTCAGAGGGAGTTAATGCAGATCTGCCCTTAGCACTTCTCTGATGCAGATTACAGCCTTTTTTTTTTTTTTTTTTTTTTTCTACAAGTAGAATAACAGTGATAAAGAAGCCATTTTAGGGAAATACTGTATATCTTTTAGGATTTATTTTAGAAGCCATTAGCAATATTTTACTGCTCTGTGAAAAAAACTGAAATTAAGCTCCTAAATTACATGTAGTCACAACAGCAATGCTTTGTGTTATTACCTTGTTTCAGGATAATAATCTGTTTCCCAAAGCATGCATATAAGCTGCTGTTGTCCTCGGGCATGAGGCTAGGACTAAAGACCTCTAAAGTAAAACCAGAAACTGAGGCCACTGTGAGCACTAGTCCCCTAAATTGCAAGTCGGAATTACAAGCCCACAGGAAGAGTATGTAAAACAAATCCAGAGATATGGTGCCACAGAGTTAGCACACCGTTAGTTTGTAGAGTTAGGAGCTGACGGCATCATGGCAGAAGAGCAGGAAACATTCTCGATTCATGTAGCTCTTAATGAACCGACTAGTGTCATCTGAGTCTTTTGCAAAAGCTATTCTCATTTAAATTGTATTTGCTATGAATATGCATTGGTTTGTTAAGTTTGAAATGTTTTGTGTAATTTTCAGTTTAAAACTGGAAGAATTTTTGCCAAAAATTCCATAAAGGAAAAAGATATGGTCCTAGTTTTGTTTTGAACAAAGATGTCAAAAATAGTCTTACATGACTTCAGAAGTCTCTGTTGCAAGTTTATGTAGATCTTCACAATGATTATACTATGGCCTAGTCAGTTGGTGTGCTGGTGCAACTGAATTTTGAATACTTCATTAAACAAATAGGAAAATGTGATGAAATGAAAGGAACGATGCATTTCCAGTGCCTGAATTCCACATCTAGAGCTCCTTCGGGTATCTCACCAGCACAGAAAGCAGTCTGTTCCTTATTTCTTGACCTCTCCAGCACAACTGGCTGAGGTAGGAGTTTGAGATAAGAATCTGATAAAAACTGAATGAGAGCAGAAGGGGATTCTGAAGTGGAAGATCTGCTCTTCGGTGCCTAAAGGGGAACCCTAAATAATTGACATAAATGGCTGGTGTGTCTGAAGACAGCAGGTGCTGCGTGGACTAGATATATAAAATTGCCTAAATAAAACGGATGTCAAGAAATAAAATTAGACCATAATCCTGAAAGTCTATTCTTCTAGCGTTAGTATTAAAAAGCCAGCTATATCTTTTCTGTCATCCAGAGTTAATAAAAAATTATTACATTCATGAGCAAAATAATAAAAAATATCCAAAACTTTCAGACAAGCATCAGCTGCTTTATCTCTGCTTTGCAAAAGCCAACTGTAAAAGCAATTGTAAATGCAGCACCTCTGACTTCAGCTAAGTCACTTAGTCAGATTAAGTAACACTAGTTGAATTGCAAATCTTAAACCTTTTTCCAGAAGTGAAGATCTTGTAAAGGAAACACAAGAGGTTTTCGGGATGGCTGTTGTCATCTGCTGTTGACACCAGCTTAGGCCTGGCATTGCAAAACAGTCTAAACTAGTACAGCAATCCTTTATGTATTGTGTTGGAAAAGGGTTTTCCTCAGCAGGAAGACAAAGAAAGAATTCAGCAAGTCACTTCTAGACTTGTTTGGCCTCTGTATCACTGAATAATTGATGGAGAGAGCTGAACAGAGTCATCTCCAACTAAAGCTTCAAGAGCAAAGAAAAAATAGCAACACTCTCTTTAAACTAAGAAATAGCTTCTTTTTGATTAAGCAATGCTTAAACAACATCACTGGGTTTCCCGAGGGTGCATTTGTCCTCGTTATGAACTGCGATGCTTCGGGGGTCTTTGCAGGCAGATCTGGCTGCAGGCGCTTTGCTTGCTCAAGAGGAACAGGCAAAATGCAGCCAGCGCTACGATGCTACGTCCTCAGCTACAGCTGAAAATGAATAGGGATGGCCACGGTCATGCCATAACCCACCCCCGGGTACAAAATTGCGAGCACCACTCAAACCTAATGCAATCGCTGATGTCTACGCAGAAATGGCATCACTCCAAACATTTTGGTGACAGTCCCATTGGCAAAGGCCTCATGCTTCTGACAGTCTGGATGCGCCCTGACACGTGCAATTGCCTCACCGGTCTGCCCTGTCTTCTTCAGCACCGTGAGCGCTCATTTGTGTAAGGGTTTGGAACTGTTTTACCACAGGTCTAAGGCTTGAGTGCATGAGATGGTAGGTAGAAAACTTCTTTTTGCCTTTTAGTTTAGAGACATTTAAAACTAAACAAAACTTTCAAGAAGTTGCAATCAACAATTTTGTAATCATTTATCATTATAGCAATGGACTTCAAGACACAGTGAGAGGCATTTTTTCAACACCAGATTATCACAATTTAGGCAAGGAAAAAGAGTGACTATGCCATGTTTCCCTAAATTTCCAGTCACAGTGGTTTGGGTTACGGCCAGTCAATTCATTTAAGCATACTGCGAGAATCTGAAGAGAGTTGCAGGACCATCTTTAGGAAAAATGTTTTGTTTCTTTCGGAAAAACTTAGGTTTCAGTGCATTAGAAAGACATATTACTGTGGCAAATTGTTAGTGTCCTTCATTTGTTTGTTTTTCAGATAGTTATAATGCTCCATGCAGGGTATTCTATCTAGCTATTCTCCCCTTCATGATTCACTATTTCCTGCACTACTTTCTTGTTGCAAACCTACATGTTTTACAGATAGTAATTAGTTAGATTTCATATAATTATTTGTATTCATTTCAAGTCTTTCTTTCCGTTTTCTGTACGGTGAAACTGTCAACATCTTTCATTTTATACCATTTTTAGATCTAATAAAAACATGGAGAAATAAGGCTATTGTTATAGAATTAATGAAAAGAGATCGTCCTGTAGATAGCAGTGAAGTGGAAGAAATTAACATAAAACTCTCATGAAAAGAATTATTTTACTGTATAAAGCATCTATTTTGCAGCACCTACAATTGTAATAGCACTTCAGACTACAAACCCAAAGAGTTTACTATTTCATTTCATTTCAGATGCACTGCAATTTAGAGCTTGCTTCTAAGAGGAAAAGGCTTTTGAGGGTTGCAGTTAGGTGCCATGTTACTCACTGATGCCAGGGGGTCAGGTTGCACGCTGGAGTTCAGTAGTCTGTCAGCTTGCTGCAGATAAACTCTGTTGGAAAAATCGAATTTTAGGTTTCCAATCTTTGCATTGCTCTGCTATAGCAGTAGTAATCTAGCACACCTGGATAACATTTTGAGAGATGAAGAATAACAGAGAAACAGAAATGAAGGCTGAGTTCTTCTAAGGTGGGGACAGATCTGATATCAAACAGAAAATTTTCCAGCTCTTTAGGGGTGCTGTGTGATGGTGACAAGGCAAGCACTGGCCTATCAAGCACCTCTGCTCTCTTGGTGGAAACACAGCCTGAAAATTTCCTTAATAATTTCCAGTGTCTACATCCTCAGTCCTTGTTGCCACAATCTCCAAAAAGAGCAACTAGCTGATACAGGGAGTTGTTAGGAGTGCATGGCTAAGATATGAAAATAAGAAGAGATTACAGGGCAATCTAGGACTGTTTGCTCAGTCAGAATTTCTGCTGATGACAAACAGGAGTTTTTGCCTATGTGATGCCATCAGGATTCGGCCTGGTAATTTACAGAAGGAATTAAGTGGATGAGATCAGAATCCACTCCCAGTTTCACGGCTGTAAATTCAGAGTACCTTTATTCACTGACATCATTTGAGCTACTCTGGATTTACACCAACTTCATTGGGAGCTCATAGTAGTCTACTGAGAATTTAAACTTCATTCCTGAATGTGCAAGACTGAGAATTGGCTGAGTTATGTGGAGCTCGGCACACACAATTGTGTCCAAAGATAACAGTGAAGAGGAGCTTTTGCCGCTGCTCTTATTGTGCTTCTTGCACTATTAAATTCTGCTCCTGTTCCAAATGTATCTGTAAGAATGAAAGACTTGCAACTACAAATGGACTATAAATTATTTACTGTTCCTGATCTCGTTCTTAGGATAATATCCAAGGGATAGTTATTAATCCTGCATATTCAACGGATGGGTTAGATGACCCCCTAGGCTCTTCAAATGTCAATTTGTTTATTCCTAGATTCTATTATAGCAAAGATTTACAGGATAGTCCTTAATATACTAACAAAACACTTTATGCTGGTGTGTTAAATACTTCTTTAATAATCAGTGTACACACTACCTCTGCTTCCCATGCTTGAAGATAAATCCTCCATAAGTTTTTGAAAATCAAGTTCTCCAAAGAGGAGAAGCAAGGAACAACCCCTATTTGGAATCACCTGTATTCTTCAGCTCAATGCCAGTTGAGGATTTGAGGAATTCAAAATCAAGTTCATTATGGCTGGATGTTGACATGCATGTGCCATATGAGACGTAAGCCAAGAAAAGATCATCTAGTGAGGTAGCCTTGGGAAATAAGATATCTCTATCTCTGTAACATGTCTGATTTCTATACATCTATTTTTTCCTCCTATTAGCTCTAATATGTAGAGGCAGCTGTAAACTGTCAAACTGGGAATCTGAACAGAGGATACTTTTTTTAGACAATGCTATTTATGCCTTAGAAATTATTATCCTGCATTGAAACCCTGTTTTATATGATTTTTTTGTTAGCCGATGACCATTAGAATATTACTGCAATCACATGCCGAACTTACATGTGTATTTAAGTATGTATTTTTTGGTAGGCAAGGCACCTAGTTAGATAATATAGTAAAAAGAAATTAGGCACAGCACCCATTTAAATTTCTTTCTGAATTTCACTAAGTATGTATGTACCTTTGGGAACACTGTAAATCCTTTCCCTGACCTGTTCTTAACCATTAAGAGAAAGTACGTTTTCCCTAAGGAACTCAAAGTCTGTATTAATGGACTTTTCTTAAGAGGCAGAAAACAGTTGAGATTTCTTCCTAAAAAGCCACTAAAATTAAGGACGTGCTGTTGGGGGCAGGGGAGAAATTCCAAGAAGCTGCTTCTTCTTTTCTTGTTCCAGTGTGGTTCAGCAGTTGACTTGGTTTCTCTAACCATCTCTGCTTCAATTTCCAGCTTGCATGATACGGTGAAAGTTTGCTTTTATTTTTAATAAATATTTTCTTTGAGAAAAATGACTCTTGGCTCAAGTTCCAGTCCTTTGCATTTTGAAGCAGCAATTAAGCAATTAAATTAAAGCCTGTAAATAGCAAATGTTTCCATTATAAAACCACTAGCAGCTCCACCTCTTTAAAAGTAGTGTGATAAAAATGCCTCAGAAATTCTTTGAAATCAGATCTCCGACAAGTATCTATTCATCTTTAAGATAGTGGGAAGAACAGAGGTTATGTAAAATCCATGTATTCCTTCCAAACCAGAAAGCGCTCCAGTTTCCCAGCCAGCTAAATTACTTTTCCAAAGTTTTATTTAGTGTTACTGTACTTAAGGCAGTACTGATATTCAGGTGCTTCAGTGCCATCGACTTTGGTTTTGATCACCCGAAGAAGATATATGTTAATTTTTCTTGTTTCATCCCATCTATTTTGTGGTCTTCACCATCTCTTTCATTATACTCCAGATGCAAACAGATTCTAGCTGCACAGCTTCTCTTCTTTTGGTTCTGCTTTTTTTAAAACAGTAGCATTTTTGGCTTTGGCATCAACATGAGGATAATTACCGTGTGGTCTCTGTTTGCTTATAGGTTGAAGACCCCCACCCTAGATCAAAAACAATTTCAGTTGACTGAAACAGCATTTCCCAGCAAATGGAAATGATGCGTATCTGGCAACTTTTCTGTGTAAAATGAGTCATCAAAACACACTCGGTGTAAGCATCTTCACCCTTCCTTCCCAAAGCTCTTAATCCAATAATGGCTAAGCATGGAGTAAAGCTTCATCTTCAGTATGTATACAAAATACATAGGGGTACAACGATAAACACTTGATTGCAAGGCAGTCATATAATGAAAAAGCATATAATTTGAATCAGATTGGGCTGAAATTAAAATTGCAAAAAACTATTTGCCAGAGATTCAAACTGTGGAGAGTAAATTCACTCTTCTAATTTTTTGCTCATCTTCTCTCCTTGTCTCTCCCTCTCCCTTTTCTCAGTGTAGGAGTTCTGCATTGTTACTTGTTTATTTGGCTTCTGATTAAAAAAAAAAAAAAAAAAAATTTGAAGAAATCCACTGCCACCCATAGTTCAAATGAAAAGCAAAATTTAAAAAATGCTGTCAATGTTTCTCTAAAAATCTCAATGATGAAATATAATCTGCTCTAGGAACAAAAGTCAGAGATGGTTCTGTAACTGCAAAGTGATATTTGAGGCAGTATATGGAATCATTATATGGGAAAGGGAAGGAGAGGGGACGGAAGGCAAGAGTGCAAAAAGCTTTGAAGCTCAGAAAGAGAAATCAGGAGTGTACATGGGCCACTTAAAAAGCTGAAATTTATAAAAAAAAAGAGTTCTTGGCATTGTTACCTTGGTCTCTGGGCAAATACGTGACTATACTGTGTTAGACTCACACAGAAGTTCATTAGTGAAGGCAGCAGAGCAGTGCCATCTCTGTAGATGACTCTCCTAACTGGTGTGGACTGGGTGGGTGTCAGCTAGTGGTAAAAAAAAGTGATCATTAGAGCCATACTCAACAAACAAGCTATGGTCATGGATGATGTTTCTAGCTTCCAGCTTCAGATGAGTTCATCATCAAGTTTGTGATGAACCAGCTCTGTAACTCTTCAGATTCCTGAAAGCTCTGATAGTATCTGATAGGCAGTGGTCATGGTCTGCTCCTGGTGAGGGAGGAGAACCAATGGCCCGGGACGGTCCTTAGCTCTGTCAGCCACACTTATACCTTTGGTCTATTTGACACGGCTATTGACTTTAGTCTTTTTTGAAGAGGTCTGTGATGCTTTCCTTCTGCTTTGCATCAGAAGTCTTATTGCCTGATTCAATGAGTACATGAACCTGCAGCGCTGTCTGAAAGGAGGGCTCAGTTGTGGAGTCTCTGGCATATGATGATTTTTTTATATATATATATATATTTTCCCTTTTACACTTGGACAACATAATAATACAACTTACTAAAACTCAGTTATGATTGGGGAAAGCAGAAAAAAGGCATTGCTGTATAATTTGGTCTCTCTTTTAGGGCACATTGGCAATTGTGGGAAAACTATTTTGGAAGAGATAAATAGACCTCAGTATGCCACACATACATACAAACATGCATACATACATACATACATACATATGTGCTTCAGTATCATTCAGTGTCCACAACAACAGTATGCACCCAACAACTTCTGGTGGTGGACAAAGAGTGTAAGAAAGCTGAGGCTACTGCTTCCCCATCTCTGCCTTACATCCCCTTCTGCAGGCCGAGGTGCTCTTTCTTGGCGCTGGCTCTGAGGGAAAGAGAAGTTGTGTCGCTGCATTAGCGTGGTGCCAACCTCAGGCCGATGCACTTGCACTCTGCCTCTCAGCTAGATCTTCAGATGGTGTCGTTGGCCCAGTGCCACTGAAGCCAGCAGAGCAGTGCCAGTGAGCAGAGCAAGAGATTTGGCCTTGCATTTTTAATGTGAATAATTGGTTGAGATAGGAGCTGGTGATCATCTGAATTGAGAAGCTCAGCATCTTAAAAGTTGCCGGAATGCAGAAAGTGTTATCTGTACAATTTTTCTAGAGAGAAGTTGGTTTTATTTTTTAATCCCCTCTTGTCTTCACTTTTTGCCAATCTGCAAACTTCTCTCCCTTTATCTGGCAAATCTGAGATTACAGGCACTTTGATTTTTTTATTTAAATCTCTGTGCATTGTTTTGAAATTATGTCTATATTTCCAAAATGTATATCTTCTCGCAAGCCATAATTTTGCCTCAGAGTACACTGGCATTTAATGTTTTCTCTTGTTATGGCTCACACTCAGTGTCAGAGCTATAAAAGCTGCTACTGTTAATTCACATTTGAGGAAGGAACAAAGGGAGCTTTCTGCAGCCCCTGCACCTGGAATGTGAAATGAGAATGGTGACTTCTGCAGCCTGCTTCTGCCAGGTGGCAGTCCCTCACTACATCACAAACCCAAGAAAAAAAAAATCTGGAACATGTTAATAGTTTTGTTACATTATATTTTAAAGCACTGACCTTGTCTTATGTTAACTGCATGTTTCATTTTTAGATTTAAAAGCCATATTGTTTTGAATTGCTTAGCCACCCATCAACACAAAGCAACAGAACTGTCAGCTCCTGTAGGATTTTCCAGCAATGTAAAGTTACGCCGATTGTAAAGTTTCTGTAGAATTTGTGTTACCATGATGCAAAATGTAGACTGTACTTTTAACAGACAGAAAAGGAAAAGCTCCCTTAATGAGTTTACATGAAACAAAAAGACATTAAAAATGCATTTGTGTTTCTGCCAAAGCTAAATACAACAGTTGCTTGTTTCCTCTAACAATACTTAACATTCATCTTTTTTCAAGGACTTTATAATATTACGTAGCTATCACTTAGGCAGTACTCAGGGCAGATTAGGTAAAAGGAATATGTAGAAACCAGTTGCCCTTGTCTACCCCCAGGTAGTGCGATAGTAAAATCCAAGGTTACAATATTTTCAAATGTGTTTAAATTTATTCAGGTTTCATTTTCTTTTACAGAAGTGTTGTACACTTGGGCTGATGGTTTTGCACTACAATATTTGAAATAGCATCTAGCTCATGTTTCTGTTGAACTGGTACTGAAAAGAGCTTGCATGCCAATAAAAAGGCCAGAAAAACTTGCTATGTGGTTTTAGAAAGTACAGTTGAGATCTGGCAGATACAAAGATCCAAGAACAGTACTGGAAGCTCTAGCAAAAGACTTCTACTTCAGTTCTGAGGAGATTGATAGCTATATGAAAATTAGAAAATAAAGTATTTGGATAAATACAACTTCAGAAATGGTTCCCCAACAGCTTTTTGGAACCAAAGTCAGAGAAATGTCTCCTGAATTCCCAGGATTAACATTTCATGTTATGTTTAAAAGGTTGTGCCAGTGACTTTTATGTCTTCGTGATCTAACTGTTGTTTTTTAATATTCTAAATCCCGTTTCAGGCAATAAGACTTTCCCAGTAATTCAAGTGGAAGTAAAATTTGCCTAAAACTGAATACATCTCATCAGTATCTTGAGCTTTATTTCCTCCAAATGATCAGATAAATATCATCTTTCTCTGTTTATTTTCTGTACTTGATTATTTGGAGTTGCTTAGATCTTCTACCAAGGCTTGATTCTTATTGCCTTTGAAAAATGGATTAAGGCTTTCCTCATTGTCTTCTACTTGACAAAAACACAGATGTGTTATTTTAACAGCCTTTTTTGCCCTTCTGGACACATAAAGCCCACCTGCTCTTCTGAGACTCTCCTGTTTTTCAGAGGCTCTAATTTACACCTGGTCTGAAATAGTCCCTGGGGGATAATCAGGTGGCTGGGAGTAGATCAAGTACCATGTGCTTTGGCTGTACCTATTCATGAGCACCTTCATCTCCAAAAGGCTAGTGAACATGGGCTAGCTAGCCTGGCATAAATACAGTGTACTCATTAGGACGGGAAAAATTTGTCTCTCTTCTTATCCTTTTATATACCAGGGACCAATGTAAAGAGTGTAAAATTCCATATGCAGCTGGTTAATATATTTTAAAACAGTCTGAGCAACATACAGTTTGTACCATGGAGATTTACAAAATTCCCTTTACAGGCAAGTTAATTTCTCCCTCCTCCTTTCCATCTACTTCTGTCTCTTTGAAAGTGTCAGTCTTCACATTTAGCTGCTAAGTTTTGTATCATCAGTGTGGTTTGGTCAAGTCTGATCAGATGAGATGTGATGTTCAGATCCAATCTGGATTCATGTATTTTTATTTCTCCTATTTTCTTTGTCCCACTGCATAAACTTATAGAACATACAAAAATCTCTCCAGTGAACTAATTACCTGAAATTTTTTTCAACCTTCTCCCATATACTTCCCTTTTGACAGTACACTGCCTGTTTCACACTTAAAACAACTTCCTGCTTATCTCCTAATTTTAACAACTTCTTCTTTCCTGCCTTTTGTTCACTTCTCTATGACATGCCTCATATTCCACAGTCACAATGTTCTCCTTTCTCTTAAAAATAAGTAAAGCTCTATGAATTAGCTTAGACAACCTGTCCAGCTGGAGTCTGGCAGCCCTTTAATTCAGTGTAGTAATTCATGTGGGAAAAGACATAGCCCCTACAGTGAAAAAGGTCCTCTGCCACATGGTCCAACCCAGCACCACTCTTTGGTTACTGCTAAGTTGGTTACAAAATTTTCTCAGTTCGGATTTCCCCACAATTTGTCAAATATATTTTCATGTAATTCCAGAAATGTGTTTTCACGTAATTCCAGTTGGCTGTCTTCTCATTATCACCATTTGATTTTCTATGCCCTGGATACTTTTGTTCATCCCTTACTTCTACCCCTCTTTCTCTTTTACATGCGTTTGTCTCTTCAACATCCGTATTTCATGCACTGTCCCTGAAAAGATTTTGCCTCAAGCAAAAAGCTTGAGCCATGATCACATGAAGTCTAAGTATGCTCATTGTCTTGCTGTTACTATTTTTACTCCACCATCCATTTAGTGCAAATCCTATTGGTTATGCAATGCCTATATGTATGTTGTACACTCTTTCTGGAAAGTGTCTACAGAGTACCCAGCACACCTTCAGGCATTGTATAATTTACAGATCAGTATAAATGAGAACAAGCTGAAAAGTAATACCATGTTGCCTTCTATTCCTTCCCAGTGATTATATCATCTTCTTTTTCTTGCCACCAGTAGCCATTTATTTTTGCTAATCTTTCCTCTCTACTATGCACAGCAGAGGCTCTTCCACTGTGAGGCTACTTTTCTAACTACTGGTCACAAAACATCTCAGGGACGAGCATTTTATCCTCTATGTTTTGCTCTTGCAATTTACATTACTGCTATCCAAGCCCTGCACAAATTCAGTGTACACATGTACATATGCGAATATGTATGTAAAGACAGATGCATGTATGTGCACACACACACACACACAAAAGGATGGAAGGTGCAAAATAAAAAGGTTGGAAGCCAGAACTGTCAGGCACCTGACACAAAGAGACATGGCCATCTACTCTGTTTCAGGCCACAGCACACGAGGCATCTATCCAGCACCACAAAGCACCTACTGGGTAAATGGAGGGAGCCACATCACAAAAAGAGCAGGTGAGACAACCTTCACCAGCTACTTCTCACCACACTCTTATCCAGCTCTTGTCCAAAAAGTCAGGCAACAAAAGCAGATTACAAAACAATAAACATAATTTACCCCTGTTAATCCAGTCCTTCCCCTGCTAAAAGTCCATGCAGCTTTAGCACGGAAACCTATTTCTTCGACTGCCAGACATATTAAATCACACATTTTCATGCAAGTGACCACATTTACAACCATCACATAATTTAATCATGAAAAGATAATGATTTATTCAGGTCCTGAAAAAAAATTTTGGAACCTGTTTATAGAGAAAATGGATTTAATTTCTGGATCTTTGTTTTGAAGCCAACAGAAGCCAGTGTCTTTAATTTTAGGTCTAGTCACAATGGTGAAACCAGCATCAGACTGGACTATAATTTTATTACATTTAGTTGAAAATTATTGATATTTGTATTAACAGTTTTCTTAGAAAATGATGCATTTTAATTTAAAAATGTTTTATTCTTTGGACTAGAAATGTATAATGTAGAACTATAAAAAGCTCAATCCACCAACATGACAGTTGGCAGGCTAAAATAGGCTGGCACAGAATTAGAGACAGAAAGTAATAATTGCTTGACCTGTAGGTTAAAGAATAAAGAATAAGAGATCAGCTCCAGTTATATGCTGTAAAGCTTCAAAAGCTTCCAATTGAATCTTAAGATTCATAGGTTATTTAAAAAAAAAAAAAATCAAATTTAGTTTATAAGACTTATTAGCTTGGAAACAGAGTGGTTGTAAATAAAGACTTGCAGTAGACCAGGGGTGAACTGGGACTGAATACATTTCCCTTAATATATATCAGTCAAAGGAGGTATTAAGCAGAGTTGTTGTCACCTTTGTGATTATTAAGATATAGGAAAAAATTTCAAGGGAAGCAGAGGAAGCTGCAAGTTTCAAAACTTTAGAGCAGGAATGAATGTGCATCTGGCTATGCATTGGTTTTCTCGGCTCATCTGCTGAAAGAAAGGTCACCTCTAAGTCCAGCTGAAGGACAGAGGGCAGGTTAATAGGCTGAAGGCTTCCTACATCCACCTCCTCAACCTCTTCAAACTTTGATCAAAAATTCAGTTGATTTGCGTACTACTCCTTTACCTGAAAAATATTTTACTCTTGCAGGTAAGCACGTTCAGACCAAA